ACAAAAATTAGCCAGGTATGGTGGCAGGCGCCTGTAATCCCACCTACTTAGGAGGCTGAGGCAGTAGAATTGCTTGAACCTGGGAGACGGAGGTTGCAGTGAGCCGAGATTGCACCACTGCACTCCAGCCTGGGCAATAAGAGCAAAACTTTGTCTCAAAAAAAAAAAAAAAAAAAGAAAGAGAGAGAATTGAGGTAATCCTTTAACCCCAGAAAAGTGTCTTCCCAAGGCACCAGTCAGACATCTTATAACCAAACTTCCAGTTGAATATTTACTCTTGTTTTTAGGAAGTACCTCCTCCTACGAGTATTCCCGTAGATAACTGACAGCTTGACTTGATGTTTCAGTTTTCATGCTGTCTTTTTTATACATAAGAGAAATATTTTAGAAGCTGCCACACTTGAGGAAATATTCGTTGTGTGAAGAAATGCTCTCACTGTCTTAAAAAGTAGATTATAAAGCCGGGCGCTGTGGCTCATGCCTGTAATCCCAACACTTTGGGAGGCTGAGATAGACGGATCATAAGTTTAGGAGATCGAGACCATCCTGGCTAACATGGTGAAACCCTGTCCCTACTAAAAATACAAAAAAAAAATTAGCCAGGCATGGTGGCGGTTGCCTGTGGTCCCAGCTACTCGGGAGGCTGAGGCAGGAGAATGGCGTGAACCCGGGAGGCAGAGCTTGTGGTGAGCCGAGATCGCGCCACTGCACTCCAGCCTGGGGGACAGAGCGAGACTCCGTCTCAAAAAAAAAAAAAAGTTAGTAGGTTATATAACTGGACTCTGTTATTAAAGGATTAACATAAAATATTTTATGTTTTCCAGGACCCTGAACCATCAATATGACTACACGTTTGATTGGACAATGTTAAAGCAGAAAGCAGCACAGCAGGCAGCCTCTTCCAGTGGGCAGGGTCAGCAGGCCCAAACCCCCACAGGCAAGCAAACTGACAAAACCAAGAGTAACATGAAAGGTTAGTAGCCAAGAACCAAGTGACGTTACAGGGAAAAAATTGAATACAAAATTGGGTAATTCATTCATTTCTAACAGTGTTAGATCAAGGAGGTGGTTTTAAAATACATAAAATTTGGCTCTGTGTTAAAAAAAAAAAAAAAGACGTCCTTGGAAAATTTGACTACTAACTTTAAACCCAAATGTCCTTGTTCATATATATGTATATGTATTTCTATATACATATATGTGTGTATATTTATATCATTTCTCTTGGGATTTTGGGTCATTTTTTAACAACTGCATCCTTTTTACTCATTCATTAACCCCCTTTCCAAAAATTTGGTGTTGGGAATATAATATAATCAATCAATCCAAAATCCTAGACCTAACACTTGTTGATTCCTAATAATGAATTTGGTTAGCCATATTTTGACTTTATTTCAGACTAACAATGTTAAGATTTTTTTATTTTGCATGTTAATGCTTTAGCATTTAAAATGGAAAATTGTGAACATGACGTAATTTCAAGAGGTGAGTCTGGCATGACCCCCGAAGTGTCTATCTTCTCAGTTGCAGAGCATCTCATTTTCTCTCTTCAATGCTCAAATAAACGCAAAGCTCAGCACATCTTTTCTAGTCACAAAAATAATTCTTTCATTTGCAGTTTAACTACATATGATCTTAATTTCAAAACGATTCCTTTGTTTTTGGCTTGATTTTTTACAGTGTTGCAAATATCAGGCTCCCAGGGTTTAATGTGGAATTGAAGTCTGCAGTCAGGCCTTGCAAATTGAAGATAACTGGGGCAAATGCCGTTGAAACCGCTAGTCTATTTCCTTTCTTCCTTTCTCTGGCACTCTTACTGCCTGTAAGGAGTAGAACTGTTAGGGCACCCTGTTGCTGTACAGTTTGACTCCCATTTTCATGTTTTGTGTTTTTTTTCCCATTTCTGGGGCTTACCTCCTGATACCTGCCTACTTTCTGGAAGTAGTGGGCAAGCAAGATTTGGCTCTTGGTTTCTAATTTTTAAATTTCTGAATGACTGCTCTAGTCTGAACTTGGCCTTTATAGATGAATCTTTGCTTCACATTTTTAGTGTTGTATTTAAACTATTTTATAATTTAAAAATAGATTCTAATCTGAAGATACTTTTCAAGAAATATTAACTCATGTCATCCTCATCCCAGCAGCTCATCTGTTAGGAATGAAGTTGAGATACTTCTATTCCATGTTTCTGTATTTGGGAAGGATTCAAAGTTGAAGGTTTATTGTCGTCGGGTTTTTCAGATGGTGACATTTAAACTCAGGGTAACAAACACTAATGTTCACACAGTGTTCTGCCTCTGCATCTCAGTTGGGATAATTGCCCCTTTTGAGTGTTTTAATCATTGTGTAACTAATCATAGTGCCAAGAAGTTCATAATGTGTTATGTAGCTAGTGTCACTGAAAAACAGTCCTACCATTTAGGTAAGACCAAGTAGAGTCTCTAACCCAAGGACTTGTTACACCTGACAACCTATAGTGTATTTGCTTTTCCTCACAAAATGAAACCAATTTTGCCTAAAGCTAGCTGGGATAATAGGATCATCGCAAGTTGCAGTTTCTATAACTAAAATTAGATTGAGGTCTCATCTGACCTAGAACATTTTACTTCAGGCATTCAGCAGACTTCAGAAAGAATTACCTTATTTTGAATTAGTTTATTTGTTAGTTTACTGTGTGTCTCTTATTCAGTAAACAAGCAGAATTTTTGTCCTGCCCTATCCAGGTCTTAAAGATGAGAAGTTGGATCCACTGAGTTAGTATATTTCCTTGCAGGGGGGCAGGGGGGAACTGTAATTAAACTTGTTTAATCCTTATTTTGTATTGTAGCTATTTTTTTTGAAAGCAACTTAAAATCTTATAAAAATTTTATAGCATCATTAGAGACAATGGTCATACAAATTTTCACATAAACATCGACTTTAAAAATTAGGCTTTTCATAAAACACATCACATGTCATTGACTGCTTTTCAGAAATACACTTCTAAGGCAGTAAATCTGTATTGCTACTGAAAAGTGCCACTTCACAGAACACAGACTTCTTTTTGCTCTTTGACATCTTGAAAACATCTTTCTTTTTTAATACAAAATCTTGTGCTCAAGACAAATCTTACATGAAACCCGCATAAACCATGAAAATGTAGCTGGCCTTAGGGCCTTAGGCATGAAATAAGCATGAGGAACATATTCCTCTAACTTCTAACCCCCAGCCCAGCAGGTTATCCTTTAAGAAATCTCCTAGGAATTCTGGAGTTTGAAAACAATTGCTCTATGTTACTCCTGCTTCCAGTCTCTGAGTAACAAGGGCATTTAAAGGCATAGGCTCTTAAGGTCCACTATAGTGGTTTTTTATTTAAGAAGTAACTCAGCTGGGTGCAGTGGCTCACGCCTGTTATCCCAGCACTTTGGGAGGCTGAGGCAAGCAGATCACTTGAGACCAGGAGTTTGAGAGTCTGGCCAACATGGTGAAAACCCATGTCTACAAAAAATACAAAAATTAGCCAGATGTGGTGACGTGCACCTGTGGTCCCAGCTACTTGGGAGGCTGAGGCAGGAGAATCACTTGAACCTGGGAGGTGGAGGTTGCAGTGAGCTAAGATTGCACCACTGCACTCCAGTCTGGGTGATGGAGTGAGACTGTGTCTCAAAAAAAAAAAGGAACTCATACAACTCAATGATTCATTGATCCCAATAAATCCTTTTAATAATGAGGAAAACATCCTACTAGGTTTTTCTAGTTAAAAACTTTAGGACAGGCTCAGTGGCTCATGCCTATAATTCCAACACATTTGGGAGGCTGAGGTGGGAGGATTGCTTGACCCTAGGAGTTCTAGACTTGCCTGGGCCACATAGTAAGACCCTGTCCCAGCTCCCTCCAACATCCCACCCACAACCCTCCCTCTACCCCCCCCCCCAAAAAAAAAAGCCAGGCATAGTGGTGAGTGCCTGTGATCCCACCTGTGTTGAGAGACTGAGTTGGGAGTATCACCTGAGCCCTGGAGGTTGAGGCTGCAGTGAGCTATGATCATGCCACTGCACTCCAGCCTGGGCAACAGATGAGACCTTGTGTCACAACAAGGAATTTTTAGAAGGTACTTTTTAAATGCATTTTATTACTCTTCACTTTCAGAGGATTTAGTATTACTGAACTAAGTTTCATAAGTGTATTTTAAGCAAGTAAATCTCTAATGTAGGAAAATCCCCAAAATGGTAGCATTTACTAATGTTTTATATGGTTAGCTTTGAAAAATATGTCTTTCTTCAGTAAAAGGTGTTGTTTTAATAACTTACTAAGAATGTTTAAAGATTCTTTAAGTCTGGCTTATCTAGCTAATGTGGGCCTATTAAATAATAGGCAGACTTCTGTCTTCCTTATATTCTTTTTTTTTTTTTTTTTTTTTGAGACGAAGTCTCGCTCTGTCGCCCAGGCTGGAGTGCAGTGGCCGGATCTCAGCTCACTGCAAGCTCCGCCTCCCGGGTTCACGCCATTCTCCGGCCTCAGCCTCCCGAGTAGCTGGGACTACAGGCGCCCGCCACGTTGCCCGGCTAGTTTTTTGTATTTCTTAATAGAGACGGGGTTTCACCGTGTTAGCCAGGATGGTCTCGATCTCCTGACCTCGTGATCCGCCCGTCTCGGCCTCCCAAAGTGCTGGGATTACAGGCTTGAGCCACCGCGCCCGGCCCCTTATATTCTTTAGATCTTTTCAAATACTCCATTCCAATACCCATCCAAAGACTTTTCTCGGCTGGGCGCAGTGGCTCACGCCTGTAATCCCAGCACTTTGGGAGGCCAAGGTGGGCGGATCACAAGGTCAAGAGATCGAGACCATCCTGGCCAACATGGTGAAACCCCGCCTCTACTAAAAATACAAAAATTAACTGCCGCCTCTACTAAAAATACAAAAATTAGCTGGGCGTGGTGGCGTGCGCCCATAGTCCCAGCTACTCAGGAGGCTGAGGCAAGAGAATCACTTGAACCTGGGAAGGCAGAGGTTGCAGTGAGCTGAGATCGCGCCACTGCACTCCAGCCTGGTGACAGAGCGAGACTCTGTCTCAAAAAAAAAAAAGTTTCTCTTTATGCCAATTATTATCTGTACTAGTTTTTAATGTTCAATTACTACAAGATTATAATATTGTTTTTATTCATGTTCAGAAGAAAAATACATAAGATTCACACCCAACACACTTCGAAATTTATTTAACTCCCTTTGACTATATGTGATTATCAATAAAGTATTTTTCAAGATATTAAAAATAAGTAAAGGAAAATGAAATATTTTTAGGACATTCAAAATCTAATGAAGTTCAGTGTTTCTTTAATTGAGGGCAGAGGTGGGGGAGAATTTCAGAAGGTAGTGAACCCAAAGGTGGATTCTTGCATAATTCTACTATTCTGTACTCTCATCATCTTAACTCATTTGTTTACTACCCTAACCATAGTTACTAAGCGGAGTTTTATCAATAATATAGATAGCTATCAAAGTGTTGACATTCGGAGGAGATTACAAATATTATTTTCTATCACATTGTCCTACCATGTGGACAAGGAAGTCCACAGTCTTCCTTGAATTACCTTCCAGTTTTGCTGGGCTGCATCTACCATTGATGTCTAGTTTTGACTTTTTCTGACTTCACCAATTGCTGCTAGGAATGTGCTGGTCGCTTAGCAGCACACCCAAATCACAGGGAAGATCTTGAAATACCTGGACAGTCTGAACACACGGCTCTGAATTTTCTAAGAAGTACCAGGGAACTGCATCCTCTTGCTGAAATCTTGAATTTTTGTCAGCTTTTTTTTTTACTGTGGACAGTAAAGCTGGAAAGATCTAAATAACCCAACAGGAAATGCTGATGAAAGTGCAAGAGTTGATTTGTGGTCATCTAAAGTCCATGTCTCCAAGACTGCTGGACCTTCAAATTCTGCAACTTGTTAGATCATCTGGATGATAGCACAACTGTTAGAAGACCTAGAAGAATACAGCGTTGCTGTGACTCAGTGGTGCTGAATGCAGACCATCTACCAGCTGGGGAAAGAATCAATTACAACAGGTATTTTAAAACTCCAGAACATCAGAAATGTGTAGCAGAGTGAATTCTGTTATAAGGAAGACAAAAGAATTTAGTCTGTTTTTTAATGCAGTTTAGGAATAATGTATACCTCCTATACTTAAAATTGTCATTTATCTTTCCCAACTTTAAATACTCTTAGTTTCTGTAAGGAAGGAAGAGTTATTAGAGGGTTGTTTTTTTTTTTTTACATTATTATTCTTTAACTTTAGATACTGCCAGTCTGATATAAAATTCTCCAAGCTTAATTCTGTGCAACCAACAGAACCACATAAGCAGCCAGGCACTGTGGCTCACTCCTATAATCCCAGCATTTTTGAGGCTAGATGGGAAGATCACTTGAGCTCAGGATTTTGAGAACCATCCGGACAACATAGGGAGAACTCATCTCTATTTTAAATAATTTTTTTAAAAAGAAAAAGGCCATTGCGATGGCTCAATCCTGTAATCCCAGCACTTTGGGAGGCCGAGGCGGGCGGTGAGGTCAGGAGATGGAGACCATCCTGGCTAACCCTGTGAAACCCCGTCTCTACTAAAAATAAAAAAAAATAGCCTGGCATGGTGGCGGGCGCCTGTAGTCCCAGCTACTCGCGAGGCTGAGGCAGGAGAATGGCCTGAACCCGGTAGGCGGAGCTTGCAGTGAGCTGAGATCCAGCCACTGCACCCTAGCCTGGGCGACAGAGCGAGACTCCATCTCAAAAAAAAAAAAAAAAAAAGAAAGAAAAATAACCCACAACCATGTTATAGGAAAAGTATATTCAAAATAACTTTTAAAAAGTTGTAGTGTGAAGGGATTCTAAAATTCAGAACCCCGTCACAAACTTACAAGCCTTCCTACTATGTAAATAGCCCTTTGAACTAGTTTCTGGTTCTATTTAAAAAGTCACAAACATTTGAAATTAATTTACAAATAAGAACAGATACACACTGTGTGGGGAGGCTGAGGTGGTAGTATCTCCTGAGCCCAGGAGTTTAAGTCCAGCCTGGGCAACATAACAGCAAGACCCCATCTCAAAAAAAAAAAAAAAAGCATACCTTTTATTTATTTTTTTTTTACAGACAAAGTCTCACTATGTTGCCCAGGTTTATTTGGAACTCCTGGCTTTAAGTGATCTTCCTGCCTCAGCCTCCCAAAGTGTTAGCATTACAGATTTGAGCTGCCTCATCTGCACCAGAACATATATTTTAGATTTCAGATTGGGTGGCGGGCAGGGATAGAATCTCCTTGTTAGTTATATAAAAATAAACGTTTTTTTTTTCCTTTTCACAGATTTTAAATTTAATTAAGCTGTTAACTTCTTAATCATCACATTAATCCTCCAACTCTGTTTTAACTCCCCCCGTCCTTTTTTTTTTTTTTTTCCCTAGGAATAAAGGAAATCATTCCTCATTTTAACTGATGTTACAGTGAAGATGGGTTCTTGAACTCTTGGAAGCCTGGATAAGCCACCTAATCTGCAAGATAAAAACCAAAGACTAACGCATATTGGGGAAAAGAATGCTTAGTACTTGAAGACTGAATGTTGAATACCTGTTGAATATTCCTATTGAGGTTTTTTCCTAAACATACTTCAGTAACATCTTAGGACAATTCACTGGAGAAATGTTGATCCCTGGCTGGAATTTCATACCATTGACCCATCTGAAGAGTTAAAGCTGAATTTGACTGCTCTATTCTACCAGGAATATTGTTAGGCTGTCCTTTCACCAGTTTCTAAACAATTGTAATCATTTATTGACTCAGCAATTCCTCAGATACCAGGTCAAAAGATGTACAGATATATTCTAAAGTTTTTCTATTATTAAAGGCACAAGAGTTTCCTTGTATTTTGACTGACAGTGTAACTTGTTTCCATTTTAGTTTGTTAGTGATGGTGGTTCTCCCTTTGAAAGCCATTTGGTATATTCGTAACAATTAGTTTAATATGATTGCATAAGAAAACTGATAAAACCCAACAATTTTAGTAGTTGTGAAAATATGTTTTTAATTCATGTTTAAGAAGAATTGCAGGACTTGAAACCAAATCCTGATGGGGGAAGGGCCATTTCTGTTTAATCCTTAGCTTCTTAACCTGCATCGTTTATCCTGTATTGTAATTTTTTTCTTTTTTAAACTCCCAAACAAGAAGCTTGAAACTTTTCCTGTATTTTAAAATTGCAGTTAGGTCACAGGGTTTAGTCAGATTTTTTTAAATTAAGGTTTGGCTTGACAGTCTTTAAAAGAAAGGTTTACCTCGCTAATACTTCTTAATAACATGCATCAAATAATATTCCCTGTGGTGATGTATATTCTCAAAGTTTTGTTATCTTTCATTTTTGGTATTTGCTGCTTATGGACTTAGTACCCAGGCAACAAAGATCTATTATGCACCTACTCTGTTGTATGTTTGGTATTATTTCCAAAAAAAAAACCAGGCATATATGCGTAAGAAATAAATAGTAGAATTATTTTGTTTCTCCCACAAAGATCATGGGAGATGGCCCAACAAATGTTTAAAAAGTAAAAGAGGCCAGGCAGGTTGGCTCACACCTGTAACCCCCACACTTTAGGAGGCCATGCTGGGCGGATCACAAGGTCAGGAGTTTTGAGACCAGCCCGACAAACACAGTGAAACCGTGTCTCTACTATAAATACAAAAAGCCAGGCATGGTGGCAGGTGCCTGTAGTCCCAGCTACTTTGGGGGCTGAGGCAGGAGAATCGCTTGAACCCAGGAGGCAGAGGTTACAATGAGCCAAGATCTTGCCACTGCCCTCCAGCCTGGGTGACAGAGGAAGACTGTGTCTCCAAAAAAAAAGAAAAAAGAACTAAAAGAAAAGGAGCAGTTTATGATTGAAGAAAATGTGGCCTGGGCTGAAGAAGTGAGGATTGATTGGAGTGGGCTAGAACGAGCTGTATGTAGTTTCTAGCTCATTTGTAAGGAGGTGGACAGAGGGGCATTGATGCCTCAGAGTGGGTGTCTGGTGAGAGTAAAAACGGTGCTTGCGAGATTTTCAGGCTATGTGGGATAGGCATATTTTCTCCCTTTGCCTTTAGCTGTAGATAAAGTGTGGTTATGACCTGAGGCTGCTTGTATTCAAACTTGGCCCGGGGCCTATGTAGAAGCCCTAGGGTCTACTTGTGATGGAGGAGGAAAGTATGTATAACATGTGGAGGCTTGAGTAGTAAATAAAGCCAAAAAAGCATCACTTGCTTACATTTTTTAATGAGTCACAAAACAATCTAATGCGGCTGGTAAAGAAGTTTTAAAGGTCTGTCTACAGAAATTACATGCTTCTCAGGTCTTTGTTTAGTAAAATAATACAGATAATTATGCCTTGAATGCATTTATTATTAAAGCTAACCGTTTTAATTTGTGTCAGAAATAATGTGCACAAGTTTGTGCTCATGGTAGGATTAAAATTGTATTCTTTACTTAAAGCGAAGCAATCTGTTTTTCATTGGTTTGATAAATATTTGAATGCCTAATACGTTCTGGGTGCTAAAAATGCAGAAACATGATCGTTTGAATTACTAATAATTATTTTAGTATGCTGAGAGGCTTTGAATTCACTGTACCAAACTCCTTAGAGTCATTCAAAACAGAAAAAATTAGTTTTAAGTATAGATTCATGATTTTCTGTTTTAAAAAGTTGAGTTGATACTTTTCACAAGAGATGAAATAACATGAGCCACTATACTTACTGGCTCAGTTCCACCCAATTTCCATATTTTGGGTGTAATTTAAAATTTTTAACTTGGAATTTTAACTTTTTTTTTGTTTTGATTTTTTACCAGGTTTCTAAGCGTGAATTGAGGAACAGAAGAAGCAGAGCAGATGATCGGAGCAGCATTTGTTTCTCCCCAAATCTAGAAATTTTAGTTCATATGTACACTAGCCAGTGGTTGTGGACAACCATTTACTTGGTGTAAAGAACTTAATTTCAGTATAAACTGACTCTGGGCAGCATTGGTGATGCTGTGTCCTGAGTTGTAGCCGCTGTAATTGTGAATATTAACTGAGATAGTGAAACATGGTGTCCGGTTTTCTATTGCATTTTTTCAAGTGGAAAAGTTAACTAAATGGTTGACACACACAAATTGGTGGAGAAATTGTGCATATGCCAATTTTTTGTTAAAACCTTTTGTTTTGAACTATACTGCTTTGAGATCTCATTTCAGAAGAACGGCATGAACAGTCTTCAGCCACAGTTGTGATGGTTGTAAATGCTCACAATTGTGCATTCTTAGGGTTTTTCCATCCCTGGGGTTTGCAAGTTGTTCACTTAAAACATTCTTAAAATGGTTGGCTTCTTGTCTGCAAGCCAGCTGATATGGTAGCAACCAAAGATTCCAGTGTTTGAGCATATGAAAGACTCTGCCTGCTTAATTGTGCTAGAAATAACAGCATCTAAAGTGAAGACTTAAGAAAAACTTAGTGACTACTAGATTATCTTTAGGACTCTGCATTAACTCTATAATGTTCTTGGTATTAAAAAGAAAAAGCATATTTGTCACAGAAATTTAGTTAACATCTTACAACTGAACATGTATGTATGTTGCTTAGATAAATGTAATCACTGTAAACATCTATATGATCTGGGATTTTGTTTTTATTTTGAAATGGGAGCTTTTTTGTTTACAAGTTCATTAAAAACTAAAAACTGTTTCTGTAAGGAAATGAGATTTTTTTTAAACAACAAAAAATGCCTTGCTGACTCACTATTAAATAAAAATCTCCCCAATTTTTTGATAGACTACTTCAAGCCATTTGTTACATGGTATTCCTTTGCAAGTCAATTTAGGTTTCGTGTTATAACTTTTCCTCTTTTTTTAAAAAAAAAAAACGAAAAAGTACTTCTTTTGTCTGAAGGGGAAAGGCATTCTTTCATTTTTTTTTTTTTCTTTTTTTTTTTTTTTTTATGACTTGCAGGCACAATATCTAGTTCTGCAACTGCCAGAACTTGGTATTGTAGCTGCTGCCCGCTGACTAGCAGCTGGACTGATTTTGAATAAAAATGAAAGCATTAAAGGGTTTCCCTACAAAACATTTTTCTTTAAAATACTTGTGAAGTGGCTATAAGCAGTTGACTTTCACCCTTGGAGAGCATCACACTGTGTGAGGTTCAGTGATTGTTGACCCTCCCCAGCCCCTCCTGCTTCTTTAAGTTATCTGTGTGCGTGCGCTTCCTCTCAATCTTCTTTGCACGCTCATTTCTTTTTCTCTGACCCATGAGAAAGGAAAACTTACTGATGATAATTTTTAAATAATGTAATTTATTCATTTATAGCATGTCAGGATAAATTAAAAGAACATTTGTCTGGAAATGCTGCCGGGAGCCTATTATGTAAATGTTAGGTATTTTGTAAAATAACCTTGAAATTGTAAATTGACACGTGTTTGGTCAGATTGTGTCAAGTTTAATTTGTTTTGTTTTCTTTTTTCTTTTTTTATTTGAAAACTACTTTAGCAATAATTAATTCCATGATTATCACATTCTGCCATTAAGGGATATTAGTACCGTAATACTGAAGAAATCTTACTAAGTCTGAACTTTTGGGGTAGGCAGCTTCTTTGTTTCTTTTCTATCCACCCTTGTCGGTTGAGGTATTTGTTTCTTGACTAATAAACCCTTTGATACTTTTAGCCAGAAATCGGTCTCATAAAGCTATTTTTGAGTATAGTTTGTGTAAAATAAAAATGTTTAGCTTTGGTAATAACTTTTCCAAGCTGAACTCCCTCTAGCAAGATATTTTTCAGTGCTTTTATTTACTATGCACTTAGACTATGCACTTTTTCTGAAATATTTTTGTAACACTTTTTTGTATTTTTGCCATTTGAAAAGGTTGTGGTGTAGTTGGTCTGTGATTAAGTTGCAGATTTAAAACTGCTATTAGCTTTGTAAATCAAGATATAGGTGTTTTTTGTCTGGTATATCGTCATTCCATCTGCAGCTGGAGCTGGAATCCCATTGATCTTCTAGCTACCATTCATTTTCTTCACTGTTCACAAAAGAAGAATGTGAAATTCAGTGAATGCTGTTACTAATCCTGTCGCGAGATGAATCTCATTTCACCAAAATTAAATTATGTTTTTCCGCTAAAATGATGATACAAGTTGAAGACACATCACTCTGAAATGGGAAGACCTCACCACTTAAGGCTCCACAGTGGCTTACTCAGCTGAACTCTAGGCTACTACTCTTTACTTTGTTCACCCATTGGGGGGTGCAGTTTTTTTAAAATGTTGGGAGATGGCCATTCTAACTACTGTTGAATGTCTCTGTTTTGGGAAGGTATAACAAGAAATAAAAAAGAATATATATGAAGGGAGAGACTGGTTATCTCCTCCCATATGGTTGTGCTTATCCTCTTATGGCTTACAAATGGATATTTGGAGGTTTGCTTTCACAATGATTTCCCATCCACAAATATTTTTATTAAGACTTTTCTTGTTTCTGTTAGTCCTTGCAGTACTCATAAATGTTTTAAGCTGAGCATACTGTACTAGTCATAAGTTTAATTTCAGTATAATAAAAATATCAAACAAAAGGACTTTAGAACCCAAGACAATGAGCTAGTTTTCCCTGAAGTTTGCTGAACTATTAAGGAATATGTTCTTAATAACTCTTGACTAGAATGAGTCATGGGAATTCTAAGAAGGGATGGCCTAGACAATTTTAGCTCAGTTAAATTCAGCAGCATTTAATGCAGGTGAATTCCTGGGTCGTTTTCCAGCTAGTCTGGAACAGTTTGGTTCTGACTCAAACTGGTATAAAGCATAATTTTGGGTTTTCTCTTTGCCAGTTTTTAAGCAGTTACAACCATTTAATCAAGATGTGAGGACATCTACGAAGTATAGTAAAGAAGGGTTGTCCCAGGTGTGCGCTCTCTTAAGTGAGACTTTGTGATACTATACTTTAAATGCATTACCATTGCTTACATTTGTGGGGGGGGTTCTTTCTCCTCAAAACTTTCATGTCTACTGTAATATTCTTAATGACAATCTTTTTTTTTTTTTTTTTTTTAGCAGTGTATGTTTGAAACAGCCAAAGATTGCAATGAACCAAGTGTAAATTGATCTAAGCAGCCCATGCAGTTTGTGTTGAGTCATCAAACAGTATATTGTTGAAGTGAAATTGTTTGTTTTCTGAAATGACTTGTTAGACCAGTTTTGAGGACATACTCAAAAGTAGAGTAATAATGACTCCTGGGATGGAGAAATATGAGATGAACCTGAAACATTCTATTATGGTGCCACAAAGGAAATCTCAGAAAAAAAAAAAAAAAAAAGGCCAGGCACAGTGGTTCATGCCTGTAATTCCAGCACTTTGGGAGACTGAAATGGGCAGGAGTTCAAGACCAGCCTGGCCAACATGGTGAATCCCCGTCTCTACTAAAAATACAAAAATTAGCCGGGCAT